GTAGCTGGCAATTAATTTTGCCTTCCTAGTATAGTCTAGTAATAAAAAAAGGATTTAGTTTGTGAAGAGAAAATATTTTTTGCTATAAAAGAAATTTGTCATGTAAATGTAATTTAAGAAAATTTGAGGAAAAAAGTAATTCAAAAAATTATTTACATTACTATGTGAAATCTATGCAAGTACAAAGATAACTAATATTTTGCCTTGCTTAAGGACAGTCTTAGTTTCAATTTTTTGCATATGTTTTTTTTAATTAATAATAGCCTGAATAAAACTTAAAGTATAAACACTTGTTCAGCCAAGGGATTTCATACTGTTATGAATAAAGGTTACTAATATAATCTAAGAACAACACTCAATAATAGGTAAAGTTAAATCTTGGAGTCTGGTAACCAAATGGATGATAAATGTCTTGTTTTATAACAAGACCAAAACTTTAACCTGCAGTTAACCAGGCCCACAGGTGAAATGAGATTTTTAATCAGAACTTATTTTATTGAGAAGTATAAATAAGAGTATGTCTTCTAAAGTTACAGACAAGGCAATAATACATTTATGGAACTTTCAAAAAGTTCAGTAAATGTTTTTTAAAGTTAAAAAGAGGTCCTGATTACTGAAGCCATAGGAAAAACTTTTAAAATTTCAAAATAATAATCTTCAGGTCCTTTTTATATCATTGTAAAAATAAAATGTTCACTTTTTTAACTGAGGAGTGTGTGGTTATAAATATTGCTGGTAGACGCTAACTTGTCCTCTTCCTGGATACAGATGTCATTCAATTTACAAGATAATAATTCCACTGTAGTTTAGGCACGTGAGGCAAGAATTTGTGTCGTTTTATTCATCGATGGATCTGTATCCACAACAAGATTCTGGCATGTAGAAGGCACTCAATAAATGAAATGTATTAATAAACGGGTGAATAAGAAAATTAAATTGTAATTCTTATAATGTTAATCTGATTTTTCCAATTATATTTACAAAATTAAAATAAAGCCTTTGAAATATTTTCATTTAAAAGGACTAACATTTTTTGGGAAAACACAATAGATATCAACTAAATCACACTCTGAGAATTATTGTTTACTATTTTCAGTCCTGGTTTTTCATTTCTTTTTAATAATTCCACTAATACCTTGCATAGAAAATATTCTTATTGACCTTCTTCAAAACAAAGATTAGACAACCCTGTTCTCTCTAAGAGAGTATATTTATAATATCAAATTGGACATGTGTGAAAATAAAATGAGTGTCAAGCATTAAATTTGATCTACTGGATTAATTAAAACAAAATGTACTCCAAATAGCAAAAACCCATACACAATTTATGAGCAATGGTTGTATCTTTTCATGGCTATATTCTCAAATTTACCTAATGTTCACAATTCATCAGATATCAAAACTATATTTTTTTAAAAGCCAAAATTAACAACAAACGGAGGTGACCACAGCAAGCAAACCAAACCAGCAACAAGTATTTAAATGTTTATCTGCTGTTCTCCATGTCTTGTGAACCACTATCTAATAAAGCATGTCAGAACGCTGGTGTTTCTAATTAAAGAATTCTTCCTTAGCAATGAACCTTAGCACGACTTACCCAGTTGACAGAACGGCTGGGATACCCATATTTTTACATGTATTGGCCTTACAATGCCTGGTGTTCGTAATATATTCTGGCTTGTTAACTAAGCTCTTTTTCTTACAACAAGCTTTGTTCCATCACTGTTTACAATCTACAATTTTGAGAACACGGGATATTTCCATGGCTCACCCTGTCAATATACTAATTTAACTTCTAAAATAGTCCAAACTTTCTCCAACTCATAGTTTATTAGATATTATTTCAAAAGAAATGCAAGGTAATATTTTTTAAATCTATATTTTTGAAGACAGTCTTTATGTGAAAGAAATGGCCAAATTTTGAAGAAATTATTATATAAACAGGAAGAATAAATGAGATATTTACTCTGACATATAGAGACTATTGAATATTAGTTATATCCATATCCGCATCCAGGTACACACTCTGTGGTATTTTTAAATCACACTGTCTGAACTTGTCAGAAATTATCTTCTGATGATAATCACAGGAATCACTATTATTTGCACCAAATCTGGTTATAGATAAATTTTAATGGACAGTTAATAATGTCTGTTTTCAAATGCTGATCAAATACATTGTCATCTTTAGCTAAAATTTATGTAAACTTATATCGAAAAGATAGTAAATCATGTCGAGTTGTTATCACTTTTGTGATGAAAGAATAATGTGATAATAGATTAAACTTTTATATATCTTAATTACTCAAGATCATAGAATAGAAAAATATTTTAATAGTTAATCACAGCAGTTTATATTAGAGTTACTGATTTAAGAACTCTGAATCAGAATTGATTTATTAAATATCAGGTTTAAAAAGCAATAATGACATGAGTGATCTTTCACATTAATTTTGGCCCATATTCATATGATTATGATTTTTTGCTTTTTGTCTTTCAAATAGGTTGGACAAGAGACACATTAAATTTCTGCATGCAACGGCTCGATGAAAGAAAGATACAAATGAAAATCTGCCAGAGTTCACTCTAAAAGGAAACACATGCTCTGCATTATTTTTCCTATAGTTATGTTACTATACAAACATAGTTATTCTTACTTTTTAAGCCAAAATATAAAGTTAGCTATACATTACAAATGTCAATAATATGTCTTTGATGTAAAAGTTCTTAACAAAGACTAACGTATTGTAAGAGTGTGTGTGGTTTGCAGGGGAGGCTAGGAGGAGGGGAGGCTTGTAAATCTGTAAGCTATGACTCCACTCATCAGGGAAATGCAAATCAAACCACAATGAGATATCACCTAACTCCAGTGAGAATGGCTTTTATCAAAAGTCCCCAAACATCAGATGCTGGCATGGATCAGAGAGAAAGGAACACTTATACACTGTTGGGGGCACTGCAAACTTTAATAGCATAGCTTCTGTGGAAAGTAGTTTTGCGATGTGCCTCAACTAAAAGTAGAACTACCATGTGATCCAGCAATCTCACTACTGGGTATTTATCCAAATGAAAAAAAAAGACATTTACAAAACACTTGCATGTTTATAGAAGCACAATTCACAATCACAAAGATGGGAACAACCCAGGTGTCCATCAATACATAAGTGGATTAATAAAATGTGGTATATGTATACCATGGAGATTTACTCAACCATAAAAAAGTGTGAACTAATACCTTTTGTAACAACATGGATGAAACTGGAGGTCATCCTTCTAAGTGAAGTATCACAATAATGGAAAAACAACCACATGTACTCACCACTAAATTGGAACTAATTGATCAACATTTATGTGCACATATGGCAGCAAAATTCAATGGAAGGGGGATGGGATGGGTAAATTCACACCTAAAGGGTATAATGCACACCATCTGGGTGATGGCACACGTATAACTTTGACTCAAACTATATAAAAGCAATTCAAGTAACCAAAATTTGTACCCCATTATATTCTGAAATTAAAAAATAAAAATAAAAAGTGAGAAGATACCTAAAACATTAATCAAAAAAAGAAGTTTTAAATTAATTCTGAAAGATATAGTGACTGTCATTTACAAATCCCTCAGGAATCCCTTTTGCTTAGCTATATAGTTTATGTTTCAATTCACAGAGAAGATTGGATTCACCTCTATTAGTTCACATTCGGAAAAACAATAGTGTTGCCTTTGACTCTCTGCAATGACAGGCTGAAACCTTCAATTAATAGAAATAGATTATTTTACAAATCCAGAAGTATATATTCCATCATAACTGTTTATTCAAGAAAGTGTTTTAAAGAAAATCAACAAGCTATTTAAAAAGCTCCTTGGGCCGGGCGAGTGGCTCACGCCTGTAATCCTAGCACTCTGGGAGGCCGAGGCGGGAGGATTGCTCATGGTCAGGAGTTCGAAACCAGCCTGAGCAAGAGTGAGACCCCGTCTCTACTATAAATAGAAAGAAAATTAATTGGCCAACTTATATAGAAAAAAAATTAACCGGGCATAGTGGCGCATGCCTGTAGTCCCAGCTACTTGGGAGGCTGAGGCAGCAGGATTGCTTGAACCCAGGAGTCTGAGGTTGCTGTGAGCCAGGCTGACGCCACGGCACTCACTCTAGCCTGGGCAACAGAGTGAGATTCTGTCTCAAAAAAAAAAAAAAAAAATAGTTAAAAAGCTCCCTTGGGAGTGATATTAATGTTTAGGAACAAAAAATAGACTTTCTAGTTGTTGTTACTATTGTTAATTGATAATTGGTAGTTTTTAAATTCTAGATTACTCAATTTTGGACCTATAGTCTTCTTCCTTATCATTCCTGGGTATAATCTTAAAAATATTATGTATAAAATAAATTTTATAAATGTGTTACATTTATAAAATGTACCATGATTATATCTTTGTATATTAGTGACTGGTCTAGATGAATAATAAGAAATTCTATTACTAAACTCAAGTAGAGCCATTTAATTTAAATGTTTTGAGTAAGCTAGACTTGATCTCTATATTAATATGTTTGGTGTCATATAGTAAAATGTTGAGAAAAAGATGCATTAATTATCTCAAGATAGTATTTTGTGCAAATTTGCTGCATAATTTATTCAACCTTTCATGATTTTTCTTCTAGAAATTTAGAGTGTGTTTATTAGCATTTGAGAGGTGGGCACTTCTGAAAAAGACAATTACCCATGTCTCCATATACACATTTACAGGGCTGATTTTTCAACCCATCAGAAATGTTACCACAGTAAAGACATGAAAGCCACTTGAATATATTATCTATCCCAGAAACTTCCTGATTTCATTAATTTTTGTTCTATATTTACTTTAGTTATACCAGAAATATATTCCACACACAGTATTAAATCAAATATCTAAAAGCAGTTATGAAAAAAACTTATGATATTAAAAGTATATATATATATATATATATATCAAAGCTATTACACAGAACACAATTATACTCAACCTGCATAAACATATGTGATTTTTAGTATGATACTTGAATAAACCCATGCTTTACTCTCCAGATTTATTCTTTGATTTAATTTAATCACTCGTTTCCAGACTGGCTTATATTTATGGACTTATGGACATCATCTGAAAGATTTTAAAGAAAATATTTTTCATTGGTGAGAGTCAGCATTAAATGGATCTATAAAGTAACAGTATAGTTATATACTGGGCACTATTTGACACTGAAAAATCTGAAATGCATGCTTACTCACTTCTGGTCTTCCCAAGGCTAGATTGTTTTTTAATAGTGCAATATTTTAGAGATAGCTTTCAAAATTAACAAAATGCAACAGTCCAGAAAAGTTAATAAAAAACAGCTCAATCCTGATGAGCTTGGCTGATATTCACAGAAATCAGGAAGAATAAGTCTATCTATAAGTATTGTTTCACAATAAGTCTATAATGAAATTTAAATGAAACACACGATAATGAGAGAATAATTCTTACATAGCAGAGAGTTACAATACATTTGGATATAATGTTCACATATTTATTAATTTAATCAATAAATGTGTATTTTATAGATTTAATTTGCTGGAACTATAATATGGTAGCTACTTTATTAGCTATTAAAGGGAATTTGTTTTGCTTTGGGTGCTCTTAAAGGCATCCACATCTCATCTGAGTAAATTAGGATTTAGGCATTAAAACAAATGCTTCTGAAAAAATTATAAGTAAAAATAGGTCATACTGAGGATAAATACTTTTGTAACTATAAACTTACAAATAAAATTTTGAGAATTAGTTGTGATTATTAAGAAATAACAATGAATATAGGAGAATGAAAACCTGTAAGATTTCTCAATTTAGTAAACTGAATACTATTTTTCCACATTTCAATTAATACTATCTTGTTTAAAAATAAGCACATAAAAATTAGCACAACTATTTATTTCATGATAAATCATTTAGTAATCCAATCAAATCATTAAAAATATATTAGTTATATCTTTCAATCTTGGAGCAAAAGAAAATTTTTAGTGAATCATAATTGAGTTTAGTTTAATTAATAGAGCATCAAGGCCGGGACGGTGGCTCATGCCTGTAATCCTAGCACTCTGGGAGGCCGAGGCAGGCGGATTGCTCAAGGTCAGGAGTTTGAAACCAGCCTGAGCAAGAGCAAGACCCTGTCTCTACTATAAATAGAAAAAAATTAATTGGTCAACTAACATATATATAGAAAAAATTAGCTAGGCATGGTGGCGCATGCCTGTAGTCCCAGCTACTCGGGAGGCTGAGGCAGGAGGATCGCTTGAGCCCAAGAGTTTGAGGTTGCTGTGAGCTAGGCTGACGCCACAGCACTCACTCTAGCCTGGGCAATAGAGCAAGACTCTGTCTCAAAACAAAAAAAAAAAAAATAGAGCATCAAGTAGTTACCTATGATTAGTATTTTGAATATAAAATTGGGAAACACTCCAGAGCTGTTTGCATAAATATTTTATGTCAAACATTATGTATAGAGAAATGGATTCATGGCTTATGAAGTAACTATCTAGGAAGACTTTGGAACTGGATAGGTCTGCAAGTGGGCAACTGGATATAAGCATCTCAATAGCTCATCAAATATGCTTTGAAATGATAGTGCTAAAAGCTTTAAAATATTATTTATGAAGATATTTGATGCCCAGTATAAAATGGTTACAGTAGCTATATGATACTCTTAAAGGAAAAAAAAAAAAAAAAAAACTAGGATAGAAATTCCAGGTACATCTTCAGTAGAAAGGTTATTAGTGTATTAGTGTTCATGGTTAAATTTCATCTTCAGAGACTTATTTTCTTTTTCTAGAACAGAATAAATATTATCACAGTATCCCCTTCTTTTAACAATTACAATCATACGTTAGCAGTTAAAAATATTCAAACACATTTTTTATTTTTCTCTCCTTTAGAACTTATGAATAATAAACATGAAAATAATAAAATCATATAGTACTACATGGAGAAACTGGTCAGAGCTATACTCCTAAATGTCTAACTAAAATTATCCAAGTAGTTGCTAAATTAAAATATCAACAATGCCAGATGTGACCCTAATTAATTCTGGTAAACTAAATATGAGTTTATAAAAGATGTTAGAAAATAAAATCTGGCATTTTGTAAGTTTCTACATTTTGAAGTTATTACATGAGAATATTTGAGTGTGTTTTCACTTAAGAACAGAGATCATTAGGTTGACAATATAAATCTTCTAAGAAATCACTTTCCTCTTACTAAATGACAGTGAGAAATCAATAAAGAGCAACTGTTTTGTAAAAGTGACTATTCTCCTAGAACTGAATTAAAGCAAAGGTAAATATATTGTAAAAAAAGAACTAATGTGCCTCAAGAAGTGTATAATTTCAAGTTTTTTTAAAAAAATTATACAATATCAAAACAAAGGAAATGCTGATTAAATTCATTTGGTGCCATGACACCATAGACCAAGAGCATTTGATAGTGGTATTAAAAAATGTTGAGTCATTTTTTAATAACTTAACTTCTTTTAATAACTTAACTTTAACATAACTTCTTATGTGGAGATACAATTTTAACAAAAAAAGACTAATTAAAAAATTCAAACTTAAATGATACCTTTTGAAAAATATATTTTGTTTTCATAATATATTTGTCCTTTTAAAACACCTTCATCTCTTATGTCATTTCATCTACAATGCTCTAAAGTAGATATTATTTTCTCCTCATGAGAGATGAGGAAAATCAATAAAGAGTGGTCAAGAAATCTTACTAGGTTCACATTAATCACATACAACTAGAATTGAAATTCAGGAAGAAATCCTAGATCTATCAGCACTCTACTTTTCCCAGTAACTCACAATTAGGAGGTGAAAGAGGAAAACATTAAGAGTCTTAGAAGAGTACATCATTAATTATAAGCCATAATCATAATATCCAAACACCCTTGGGATAATTTTTTTAAGAAAAAAATAAATGCTTGCTAAACTCATCACAGATTGGTGTCATATTTCCATTTGTGTCTGAACTTTTTAATACTAATATCCAATTTTCTAAATTACTAAAATTTTTAGACTCTTATTCTAGTCAGTAACTGTTCACTTTAAAGATAACATAAAAAACTCTATAACAGAAAATATATGAAATCAAATCATATGTTAATAATGAAACATCAAAGTTTGGAAATCTCACCAGTTGTTTTCTTTGCACTTATAGAAAGAAACACACAAAAGCATTATTCTGAAAAGAAATTCTACTTTTATTTAGGAACACACAAATCTAGGAGTCAAATTAATGGTAGACTCCTACAATTATGTATGTATAATATACATACACATACACACACATACACACACACACACTTTGAGTCCCAATGGTGTCTTCCTATTTAAGTTTGATTTACTTAAGCATGATTTACCAATTATTTTGCATGAAGGAAATCAAGATGTACTATAGTTTATACAAATGTACATTCCTATTATTATGGAGAATTGTTTAAAGGAAAACATTCTATAAGAGGATGAAATCCCATATTATCTGATGAAAAGAAAATAAAATTGATTATTATATGGTATCATGTCTATTTCATTTGGAAAATATTTTTAAAACAACATATATTTCAAATAAATACCTTCTCCATCCACCCAAAAATGAGTTACTATCTATCTATATATTAATCCACACATATATATACACAATGAGCATATTTACCATGTACTACAATAAAATTCCAGAGGATAAAATGCAGAAGAATTGAGGAATGGGAATTCATCAACAAATTACTTTCTCAAGTGGAGTAAAAACTACCTTTTGCATCAAACTAAGAAAAGCACCATAACTTTGCAAATTTACAAACCAAAGTTGCAATTATCTTATTTCTTCAAGATTTTATTAGTGAACCTTACAAGTAGAAAAATTATTGATCAAGAATCCACATCAACAAGTGTAATTACTAAAATATTTCCACAGAAAATTTAAAGAATACAATTTCTTAGAGAAGAGAAAGTGTTGTTATCAAGTGGAATAGCTTAATGATTGTGTCTTAGTAACATTTTTTGATTCACTGTGTAGAAGCTCCAGACTTCTTCAACATGTGAGCAAACATATCAAAACGGTATCAATAATAGTAACACAACTTATTAAAATATTCAAAATTTGATTTATCATTTTATTTGAGTCAAATGTGGTTGTAGAAGAAATCTATCAGTTGCTCAATCTACACATGTACAAAACTTTGAATTTAAAAAGAGCTTTACTTTGGGGAGAGTCCTCATAATTTTCTATATTTGTTCTGAATTTTTTTTTTCTCAGTTTTCCAACTGGTGGAAAGCCCAGTGATTTCTGTCCTGGGTCACACAAAACCCTGCCACTGGGCAATCTCTTCTTTTTTCATTTTATTTGGCAACTCACTCCACCCCCACCACATGAATTTTTTTTTTCAAGACTGAGAAAATAACATGAAAATACCTACAAAACATTTGTCTCAAGTAGTCAAAATTACTTTGCTAGTGCAAGATGCCATTAATAGTTCTCCAGTCATCCTTTTGTATATTAAGGTTTGGGATCTTAACAAGAAGCAATGTTTTCAACGCATGTCTGCAACTGCCATCTTCCATATTTCATTAGGGTTATACATTCCTTCCTCTAACTCTTTCTCCTCCCCATGTCTTCCTCTCACCTTGGTCTAATTTATGACTTTTGTAACCTTGCTAAACATTTAAATAAATCCACTCTAAACAATTAAGTGAATACACGTTAAACATTTACATGGTTTTAAACCTATTGATGACTGTAAATATTAAGTTATGCATCTTATCTGGGCTATCTGAAAATGCATATATTTCATCTCTTGCAACAGGGAAAAATCAACACAGATGGTCACACACAGATTATATGACTGTCAACAAAATACAGCCATTCAGTCCTTACCTGCTTAACTGCATGATGACAAACATATCAGGATAGCACGCAAAAGAAAGTCCCCCAAATCTGAATCATCTGTCTTCAAGCTGCTGTGACAGTGTTATACCCTGGTGCTGTCTGCTTTGCTTACATACATTTGACTGGCTGGAATATTTGTAAGGGACCCTAGGGTTAATATGCAACCCCAGCCACCTCTTCCTTTTACCAAGCAGCTGGAAGCGTGCACCGCGTCTTCAGAAGTAGCGCCTGCCCGCGTTCCTCAGCAGATTCCCATCAGAAGGCAGCTCCTGCTTTAAGGGGTTGATCACGTTCTCAGCCCTTTACTGCGAAGCGAAAGGCGGTTCGATCTCGGGACTAGGTCTAGGAGGCCAGCCTCGGAAGCGCCAGGCACAAACTCTGCGCCGCGGCCGCGGAGCCCGCAGGAACCCGCCGCCCCAAGCACCACCCTCTCGGAGCACGCCCGCGGGCGCCCAGCGCGGCCCTCCGCCACCCGCGCCCTCCCGGAGAGGGAGATTCGAGCACGAGCAACTTTACAGCGGGCAAGTGTAAGCCAGACGCCCAGCCCTCACGCTGCTCTCAACTTCACACGTTATATGCCAAGCTCCAGCTCCAAGTTCAAACCCAACTCTCCCCTCCTCGCCGCCTCCAGGTTCTGGGAGCTGGGGGGACTGGAGGCCGGGGACGGGGGGCCGGGGACGGGGCGGCTGGGGGACATGGATGGAACGGGGACAGGGGCGGGGCGGGGGTGGGGGACAGGGGACTGGGGACGGGGGGAGGGGACGGGGACGAGGGGACGGGAAGGGGGACGGGGACGAGGGTAAGGGAAGGAGGGGTACGGGGGGACGGGGACAGGGGAAGGGGCGGGTGACGGGGGAGGGGACGAGGGTACGGAACGGGGAGGGGGCGGGGACGAGAACGGCGGGCGAGGGTGACGGAGGGGACAGGGTGGGGAACGCCGATCGAAACGGGGGGGGACTGGGAGACGGGGGCACGGGGGAATACTACAAGAAGAAAAAAAACGAAAGGGAAACAGGAGCCAAACAGCAGGACCTAGCCCGGGTCCAAGGAGCCGCTGAGCAGCCGGACCTCGCTGGGCCGCGGACGGGCCGCGACGGGGCGGGCGCAGGCACCCGGGAGCGGCCCCTCACCCGCCGGGGTGCCGCTCGTCAAAGACAGCCCGTAACCCTGAGAGACGCTAAAAGATGACGGAGCTCGCGGTCTGTCCTCGTTAGGGAGAGGTTTGCTCGAGTCGGGCCCGAGGCGGCCAGCGAGCGAGCGACCCGGAGGCACGAGCCGGGCGCCCCTCCCTGCCTCCCTCCCGCCAGCCGCGGGCGCCGCAGCGGGCACGCGTCGCCCGGGTGAGCGCGGGTCGGCGCGGGCCGTCCGCACCGCGCCCCGCCGGCCCTCGCCCCTCCTGCCGGGCGCAGGCGGGGAGGGCGCCCCTGGGCGGGGAGGGCCCGCGAGTCGCCTGTTGATAGCCCGGCGGACGCCCTGGGCCGCGGGTCCCGCAAACCCGCCCGCGCCGGCTGCGGGCTAAGGGCAGCGGGGCGCACTCACCGAGGCCCGACGCCCGCGCCGTGAGGGGTGGGCTGGGCTGAGAAGAAAAGAGGTGACTGCACCGAAAGTTCTGTCTCCCCGCTCCAGCCCTGCGCAGCACAGCCTCCCCCGAGGGCGTCTGGAGGGGCGCCTCTCTCCAGGCCCAGCGGGCCGCGCGGGGAGGCAGGGCGGGCAGGGCGGCCCGGGGAGGCAGGTGCGAGCTGCGCGGTCCCGGCCCGAGCGCCCGGGCGGGCGGGAGCCCCGGGAGCCCGAGACGCGGTGGGGGCGCTGCAGCCGAGGACTTTATGTCTGGGAGCTAAAAGGGCTTTGGGACGTAAAAAGCGTGGCTTGGCTTGTCGCGTCAGCCATCAATGATGACAGGAATAGTTCTTTCCGAGAAATTTAAAAAAAAAAAGAAAGAAAAAAGAAGGAAAGAAAGAAAAGCTTGAACAATAGGTTCTCACGTCCATCCATCCTAATTATAGGAAACGTAGAAACCAGGAACTTGTCCTTAATGGGGGGGGGGGTGTTCACAGAGAAGCCCTCAGGACGTGTTAGAGACGACTGGACATGCAGGCTTGGCATTCAGTGGACACCGTGCTCGTCTCAATATATGTCAACATGTGAAGCAAAAGCAAAGATTTTAAATGTTTCTCAACACAACTATACTGAAAAGAGAGGTGATAATTCTGTCAGTTAAACCCAAAGAAATGTTCATAAAAGCAAAAGGCACTGACCATATTAACATACCTCTTAAAAACAGAGAGTGGGGGTGGGCAAGTGTGAAGAGTGAAGCAATTAAATTTCTCATGAAAAGTCTGTCCCTGAATTTCAATTTAATAGAACCAAGATAATCAGTAGTTTCTTCTGATAGCTTTTTTTTTTCTGAAATGGGTACCCCCTGTCCAATTAACTGTTCACCAGCTAATTCTCAAAATCTGAAATGTCCAGCCAAACACTATGCCTGAATTGAAATACAATGCCTAAAATAATGTGTTCGTGTGTGATTTAAAACGTTGTAAGAAAAAAAATGGTGCCCTCAAAACTCACACTCCTCTTCCTACCACTCAGTGGCATTTTAGTGCTTAGGATTCGGTTAAAATGTGCTTTACAATATAGTCCTCCCCCAGTCATCTAATTGTTTACTATGAACAAATGCTGACCTGAACAACCTTCTGAAGATCAGAGAGGCTAGTGAACTTTCCCAGTCCCTGTGATTGTCAGGTCTCTTTAAAGCTGCCTCTTAGATAAACATATAAAATGTGACCTTTCAAATGGCACAGGAATAAGTGCCAAGAAGGGTTAATGGGAGGAAAAGGAAGTTAATGTACATATAACCTGTAATATAAATGAGGACAGAAATGAAAAAAAAAAACACCAAGATTATGAAAGGGGTGATTCACTACATAGGATATATCTCAATAGTGCAATTGCAACTAACATACTAATTCATAAATATGGTCATATAGATCTCTGAATTCTGAAAGTAGCAAAAATAAGACACTTAAAAAAACAAAGCTCATTAAAAATAACACTAGTAATAAGTTTCTAAAAACATATAAAGAGAATAACTTACCAGAGGAAATTTCAGGAAGCAAGATGACTGTGAGAAAAATACATCCAAAATTCAAACAGATACTCCATGATCTTCCAAATCAAGATAAAGTAGTGAGCCGCAGGGTGGTGGGACTTTGAAATAATCAGCAGTTCCTGGTGGCATGTAACCAAGTGAAAGCCAGTTACACGGAGAGCCACGCGCCCCCAAGGAAGGAAAGCAAAAAGTGAAAGAGGAGCTTTTTATTCTGGGGGTGGCGAGGGGGCTTATTTGTGGTGGTCCTTAAGCCGCCAAAGTGAAAATTTACATACTACACACCCCGTCCAGGGGGGAACGACGGAAGCTGTTTAAGCGCAGCGAGCAGGAGGTGGACCACAGATACTCTGCGAGAAGTGAGGGCTGTGGAAGACAGGGCTGGAGAGGGAACTGGCGCCGGCCGCAGTCGCCCTGACGAGCCGCCAGAGTGATCTAGCTGCTGGGGAGGATCCAATGGGGATTCGCGAGGGCGCCGCTTCGGAAATCCCGCTCTGATCCTCCCACTCTCGGTTCTCTAAGAGTTACCTGCGTCGGGGACATCGTTATTAGGATTAATAGTATTCCGTCAGCGCATTCACTAGTCTTTCCCGTGAACGCTTCCGCTCGCGGCAACCGAGGGAGGCGTAGCGAGAAGCCCAACTCCCCCAGTAAACCACGCCGACCGCTCACTCGGCGGCGACCCAGTCGTCCGCGATTCGCATTGGGGGGCGGGGGTGGGGGTGCGGGTGCGGGTGCGGGTGGGGGCGGGGATGGAGGGCTGCAGACCCGCCGAGGCCGAGCGCCGGCGCTCTCGGGGCGCCAAGCGGGGTGTTGGGCTCGGGCTGGGAGGGCGCCGGGGGTGCTGGGGGGTGCTCGGGCTCGGGGGGCTCGGGGGCGCCGCGCTGGGGTCTCGGGGCTCCGACTCAGGGGGGCTCGGGCTCGGGGGCGCCACGCGGGGGCTTGGGGGGCTCGGGGGACTCGAGGGCCCGGGCTCGGGGCGGGAGCCCGGCGGGCGGCGGCGGCGGCGGAGCAGCCCTCCCGGCCCCGCGCCGCGGCGGGCTTCCGTCCGAGCCCGGCTCCGGGCGCCCTGCCTGAGCGGCGGACGCGGGAGGACGCCGCCCGCGGGTCGCGTGCACGCCGCACACACGGCCGCCGACCGGGGGTAAGCTTGGCTTCATCCGCGCGCCCCTGCCCCGCCGCCCGGCCCCCGCCGCCCGAGCCCGAACCCCAGCCCGGTCTGCCTCAGCTGCCCTCCCCCGGGTCGGGCGCCGGCTCCCGAGGCGGCTGCGAGGCGGGCTGCGCGCTGCGGCGAGGGCGACCCCCGCCCGGCCGGCTCGGGACCCGCCGCCGCGCTTCCCAATGGGCGGGCAAGGCCGCGTGCAGATTGACTCCCTGCGGAGACCCAGACATTTGCCCTGGATGAAAATGTAGGTAAGTGACCTTATCCTGCGAGGATGGAGAGGGAGCACGCAGCCTGTCGCCCCACCCGCGCTCCAGTCACCCATTCCTCTCTGCGTGTGCCCCCCGATCGCGGGCGGGGGCAGTGGGGATTTTCTTTGCCTCTTTCCTGGGAGAGTAGTAGCATGTAAGAGTGAATTTCAGGCAGAAGCCTTTCAAGAAGACAGTATGAAAGCTTTAAGATCTTTTATATACTACATTAAAAACCCAAAGACAGGTAAAGCAGGTAGATCCCTGTTTGCTTGCCAGCTAATGGAGGATGTAAGTATTTCCCTTATTTCGTACTTTTTTTTCCTGAATATTAAAAAAAAGTAGTTTGGAGTATTGGCCCATGTCCGTGCTTCCAGCATTCTTTGGCCATGTTCTAGAATATAATATTGTTTTAATTTCAAAAATGGGAATGATTATTTTTCACATTTTGCAGGTAAATTAAAGATAAACCACTTACTGAATGTGCATCTTGGCTTCAATTCTTGTACCAGATACAAATTAGTAGTGTCCAAAATGGCTATTTGCATGTTGAGATGATACTGTAAATTCATAACGCCCTCTGGTTTTGCTTGAGTCTATAGCACCCCCAGCCTGTACATGCTCATAATGTGAAGACTGGGTAGGTGTAGGAGTGGGACGAGGCCAAAGAGCTCTTGACTGGGCTTATATCATGTCATTAAGTGTGGAGAATAACAGGTTTTGCAAATTGTGTGAACTTCGTTTTCAAGTGTAAGCTGACCCTTTGGATGTAAGAAAATAATAATAAAGAAGACTTGCTCTAAGAGAAATCATCGCAATTTTGAATTATAAAATTTTTTTTACTGGTGAAATATTGGTACTAAGCTTTTTTTCTCTATTGTTGTCAATCCTGCTCAATTTTAACAAGAAAGGATAAGATAATTGGCACAGAATTTATTCTTGATGCAAACAGGATGGCCTTAACCTCATCTAAAATACATGATATTAAAATTCCATTGATAAGAATAAATTCATTTTAGATAATCAATATCCTAGAAATCACTAGTATAAAATCCCAGAAAAAAGTGGTATATTACACCATCAAGGCGAAATTTGGATGTGTTCAAAGTGTCTATAGTCTTC